ATCAGAGAAAGATGTGGCAGACAGCTTCTGCAAAGATTTATGACTTATTTTAAAGTGTTATTTCCTTTTTTCACGTCTTTGCTTTCATCATCAATCAAACCAAGTCATATTTAAACAGAAATTCTTTTCCAAGTAAACAAAAATCCATTGTACAAGTAATCTCAGACTAATGGAATCTACTTTTCTTTGGATATAAATAATAAAATTCATGTAACTTAAAGTATAAAAAAAAAGGATTTATGGCTTCAGAAATCCTGTCCTATAGATTGTTGTTGTTAAATGCTGTCGAGTTGAGCAATACTTATAGCAACTCTATGAACAAAAGACCTGAACCCTGTACTGTAACTATTGTCGTTTTTCTATGTTCATAGAGTTTCCAGAGGCATGTGGTTTAAGAAGTGGATGCCTCTCCTGCTTCCAAACCTGAATCAATCTGGGAGTTCCACCAAAATTTCCACAGTCCAATGGAGTCCAATGGCTTAGCTATGAATTAAAATCATCTCAACGGCAATAGGTGTTCTTGGGTTTCTTTCCCTACTGACTTGCTCCTGAGTAGAAGACTGAGCAACAGTGGACTTTATATTAATCGGTTCTTCCTTCCTTGAGAGTATCATTCATTATTTTTATCATCATCATAACTACTACAATTTAGAGTGGACTCACTCCATTCTACAATACACATGTACACACACATATACTATTGTTGTTGTTGTTGTTGTTGTTGTTATCTGCCATCGAGTTGCCTGTGACTCATAGCGACCCTTTGTACAACAGCCCTAAAACCTGCTCTATCCTGTGCCAATCTTATTGTCTCTGACACACCTACCCCCATTCCTCCAGTCACTGAATCAATCCATCTCGAGGGTCTTTCTCTCCTGCACTGTCCCTTCACTCTCCCAAGCATGACATCCCTCTCCAAGGACTGGTTCCTTCTTGCAACATGTACAAAGTATGTCAGACAAAGCCTCAGAATCCTTGTATCCAAGGAGTAGCATGGTTTAACCCTCTCAAGGGTAAACCTGTTAGTTTTCACGGTATATTCGATACTCTTCTCCAGCACCACAGCTCAAAGGCATCAATTCTCCTTCTATCCCCCCTAGTCGTTGTCCAGCTCTCTGATGCATGACATACACTATACTGATCATATAGTTATACAAACTTTCTGGGGCAGTGTTGTCTAACAGAGCACTGTGGAATGATGGAAGTACACTGTGTCTATGCTGTTTAGCATGTTAGCCACTGGCACTTATGCTTCTATTAAGCATTTGAAATGTGTCTACTGAAGAATCAAACTTTTACTCTTTTATTACATTTCCATTCAAATAGCCACATTCTTAGTGGCTGTTAACGTTGGGAAGCATTGCTAATAGAGTTGGTGGGTTCTTTACTTTGAACCAAGTCCTGTTTTCATCATTAATTGGGAAGAATGAGATGAGAAAAAATATGGATGAATGGTCCTAAAACACTGTTGGACATATAGATATTTGAAAGGAAGTTTAAAAGTTACATTTAGTCCACCCTTTGACCTCTGTCCTTTCACCTCCTTATTCAGTCTGTGTGTTGAGCAAACGATCTGAGCTGAGCTGTATGAACAATGGCATCAGGATTGGAGGGAGACTGTGCAACTTGTGTGTACCGTTGACACAGCCTTGCTTGATGAAGGACAAGAGAACTTGAAGCACTTTCTAAAGAAGGTCAAAGACCACAGCCCTCAGTGTAGATGTTGCTGGTGCTGCCATGTGCGGTCAAGTCGGAGCTGACTCATAATTGACCCTCCAGTGTGTTTTCAGAAGCAGTAAATCACACAGGAGGAGACTGCTCATCTTTCTCCCGCAGAGAAGCTGGTGCATTCGAACCACCTCCCTTTGGGTTGGCACCATTAGGCCACCAGTGCTCTCTCAGTATAGATTATCTCTCAATATAAAGAAAACTATTATTTCAACTGGACCAATAAGCAAAATTATTATGATAAATGGAGAAAAGATGGAAGTTATAAAGGATTTAATTTTATTTGGGTCCACAACCAATACTCATAGAAGCAGCAGTCAAGATATTAATCTTGGGAGCATATAAAAAGAACAACTCCTGTTAGAATTTAACTGAAAAGATACTGGTCGGATATACACAGTGACATGGAATTACTCATAAACAAAGGAAGTCCAAAGATGAGGATGGAAACCTTATGGCATTCAACCACTCCCGGCCACCAGCAATGCACTTGTTCATCTCTTGAAAGCTGGAATTCTATCCATCAATTTTCTGAAACAAGCCTGTTCCTTCCACGTATACAATGGAGTGATGTTTGAGGTATCCATGTAGAGACAGTTCTCAGGAAAAACTCTTAACTGAGAGTCCTGGTGCCCAATGGTTAAGGATTCCACTCTAGGGTTTGAACCCACCCAGGGGCTCCCAGGGAGACTCGACCCTGCTCTTCTACTCCCTTAAAACCTTTGGAAACAGTTCTGCTTTGTCCTATAGGGTCATGATAAGTCAAGATCTCTCTGATGGGTCATATTAACCTCGTCTCTCTACAACTATCACCTCAGGATTTCTCTGCGTTGTGTGTCAAAATGGAGAAATAAACTTTAACGTGAAGAAACTGGCTTGAAGACGGAATTACATTCCTACTCAGTCCTCTGTGGAACTTAGGTTGTGAAACAGAACTTAAGTAGCCCTTGGTTTGAACCATCTGTTGTGAAAATGTGGCATATGCTTGCTTTGCTTATTCAACAACCCAGTATAAAGTGATACACTGAACTAAAAAAATGTGTGTGTGTGTGTGTGTGTGTGTGTGTTATGGAACCTGGTTGAAGGACACAATCTCCTCATATGTGAACTCAGGAAACAACATACATCATAAAAGAGGAGCATGAAATAGGTGGAAGTTTGCACTGTGAAGACACACGTTGGCCACTGTAAACAATACACAGTGCTCACTGCATTAACCTGTCCTACCTTGTAGTTGAAAGAAAAGTTACTCATTCCCTTCCTTCCTCCTCCTTTTTCTTGGCCCCAAATTCACCCGAAGCTGATGCCCTTTTCTATTAACTCCTTCTATCAAAAGGAACCTTTCCTCTCTCTCTTCCGTGTCCTATTGTCTGGTATGATGGGCTTGCAGTTTTGACAGCAGGACTCGCTTAGACTTGATTTAAATTCAGTTTCCCTGAGAGACGAACTCAGACATTAGCAAAACTCTCAATTACAAGTCCTGAATAGCCAGACTGTCGCCCGCCACTGTGGGTTGTCCCCCAGCCTCCCTCCCTGGACCCAGGGTAGACTTCAGCAGACCTCCCGGGCAGGGGGCAGGGCTGGGGACATTTGTATATACATATATTTACTTTGAAAGAGTCAAGATGGAGCTCAGCTTATAGATTTCCTAGAGTCAAATTCTGTATGTGTTGAGTGGATCGGGGGCTCTGCTTTTGTCTGCAGCTGGAGGAGAGGTTGAGACTGTGTCAACGTGAGTGAGGGCGCGCTCGTGGGCGCATCTTGAGACAGTGGCTCCGGGCCGGGTCTCAGGTCTCTAAAGTGCCAAGTCTTGAGTCACAGGCGTGAGTAATGTGAGGGTTGAAAACTCTGAATTCAGAAGAAGGGTCTGGACTCATCGTCAAACCAGGATGGAAGAAAGAGCCCTTGTGCATTGCGCCCTTTTGTGTCTCTTGAGAGTGTGTGTGTGTGTGTGTGTGTGTGTGTGTGTGTGTGTGTGTGAGAGAGAGAGAGAGAGAGAGAGAGAGAGAGAGAGAGAGAGAGAACTATACTGAGACACACACAGACACTGAGACAGTGAGAGAGAAGGCGAATGAGCTGAGCCTAGCGGTGGCTGCACAGCACCGCGTGTCTTGTGCGCGCGTGCAGGGTCCAGCCCGGGTCCCCGCGGGCCAGTGTCTACATCTGCGTCCGAGTGGGCGAGTTTCAGAAGGGCTATTCGCGCGCTGCAACGCAGAGCAGGAACAAGCGAGGGGCTGCTGGCCAGTGGCAATCTGGCCGCAGATCCCTCCTTCTCGGCGCGGCTCTCCATAACCGCCAGCACCCCTAACCGGCTTCCAGCAGGCAGCTCTGCTCGGAAACCCTCCTGGCCGGCTCGGCTCTCCACGCTCGCGAAGATGACCGCATATCCCTTCCTAGCGCAGGGAAAGTGAGCCCGGAAAGGCAAGGAGGCGGGGACACCCCTACGGAATAAATAAATAAACACTTAGTGGTCTCCTCGCCGCAGCTGGACACGCCGCGGTCGGCTGAGTCTAGGTTGGTGGCATTTGCAGAGTTTTTTCCTGTTTTGTCGACTCAAGAATCCAACGCCGCTGCCCCTCACCCGCGACAGCCCTTCCTTTCTGGCAGGCGGCCCCCAGCTTTGGAGGCCAGGGCGCTTGGGGGGCTCCGGGCGCCCAGTGCAGGGTTGCACCTGTCCGGCAGGACGCGCGGGGGCTGCGGTGGCGCGCTCGCCGGGGCGGTGGCGTGGATGAGTCCGGGGCGCCGGGCGCCAGTGAGCGGTGCAGATGCTGGGCGAGCCGAGGACTGGCGGCGGGTAGGGGCGCACGAGCCGTGTGCTAGTCCCAGCCTGGACGTCGCCTCCCCGCGTCCGGCTGCCCCTGAAAGGCAGTGCGCCCGGGGAGGGGGCTTGGCGACGGGGACAGCGATTGGTGCTTTTCCCGGGGAGGCGGCGGCGTGCAGAGAGGCAGCTAACTTCCCCGGAGAGGGGCTCGTTCGTGCCTGGCTGGCGAAGGAGCTGCGACCGCCGCCGAGGGCGCCGACCCCGGGCAGCTGCCGGCTCCACTCGCAGAGTAACGCTCTTTCTCTCTGCTTGGCCCCCACACCTACTTGCACTTTGGGAGGTGGCATCCGGTCACTCGCGCCTCCGCAGGCACCTCGCGCCCCAGCCGGGTGGGGTGGGGGCGGGGTGGGGGGCTGGAAACTTCCCCGGCGGGAGCGGGGGAGGGGCAGCAGGGGACAGGGGGGGGGGAGGCTCGGCGCCCCGGGCTCTCATTTCAAAGCGCTCTCTCCCCTCCAGGTTGGGTCGGACCTGAGCCCCAGAAGCGGCACCGCCTCCCGCCCCGCTGCCCGCGGGGAGCAGAGTCGCCGGCGGTGGTGGCGGCGGCGGACCTGTGACTTCGCTCTCGTGCTGGATGGAGCTGAACTTTGTGCAGCGGGAGCAGCGCGGCTGTCCGATCCTCGCCGCCTACTGAGCTCCGGCCGACCCCGCGCGCCTGGCGGTTCTGGGCGGGCAGCAGCTGCGCGCCGGCACCATGATCCTGGCCACCCTGTACTTCGCGATGCCGCTCCTGGGTAAGTCGAGGCCGCCGCTGGCTTTCGTGCCTGCCCTGCCTTTCAAAGCGCGCGGATGGCACTGGCGGGCAGGATGCGGAGGGCAAGGCTGCCCTGCAGGCTGGGGTCCGGATCCCCTGAACTCAGGGCTCTGGGCTGGGGTTGGGGGGTATGATGGCGCGGCACTTGTCCGCAGCCTTGCGTGCTTGGCGTGTGATTGTCTGTGGTATTGATTGTCCTTCTCTAGCGGGGACCTACGGGGTCTGCTGCCTCTGGGCCTGGCATCCCTGGCGAGTCCTGGGGAGCTCAGAGGCGCAGGAGAGCCAGTGGGGCGCGGACGAGCATGGGTCCATGAGGGCAAACTTCGAAGGGAAAACTTTTCCCCTAATAGAATTTTGGCACACCCCTCAGGGCTGGCCACAGATCAGGCCGCGCCCCGCACCCCGCGCCCCAGCTGCAGTCCTCCTCAAAAGCCCCTGGGTCTTAGCCCAGGTGTGCAGAGCGCTCCGCTGGAGGGGTTTGGCGCGTTCGCGGGGCGAGGGGCACAGCAGCCTCCTCCTCTCTCCGGTCCAGGGTGGGAACAGGATCTCCGGTGGGAAAACAGACTCCTGGGGGGTTTCTTGGGGGGAGGGTCCCTTCTCTTGGACGCTCCTGGAACCGCGACCCCCCACCCCTGGCCAGCTATGGAGGTCCCTGCCACCCTGCCCTCATGCCCCGTGCCCTCTTGCCCTCTGCCCTCTGCCCTCATGCCCCCTGCCCTCATGGCCCCTGCCCCCTGCTCTCTGTCCCACAGACATGCTCCTGTCGGCGGAGGTGAGCGGTGGTGACCGCCTGGACTGTGTGAAAGCCAACGACCAGTGCCTGAAGGAGCAGAGCTGCAGCACCAAGTACCGCACGCTGAGACAGTGCGTGGCGGGCAAGGAGACCAACTTCAGCCTGGCGTCCGGCCTGGAGGCCAAGGACGAATGCCGCAGCGCCATGGAGGCGCTCAAACAGAAGTCCCTCTACAACTGTCGCTGCAAACGGGGCATGAAGAAGGAAAAGAACTGCCTTCGCATCTACTGGAGCATGTACCAAAGCCTGCAGGGTACGCCTGGCCACCGCCCCCCCACCCCTCCTCCCCGGGCCAGCTGACCTCATCCTCCGCTCACTTCTCCCCAGCTGTAGAGGGAGGATGTTCATAGGTCCCCAGGGCCATCAGCAGCTGGTGTTTGCTGCAGCTCAAGCCGTCTTAGTGTGGCCAGGTTATTGGAGAATCCATGAGTGCACTTGGGGTACCCGAGAGACAGACACATCCCCTGTCTCTTTGAAACCTGGAAATTTGAAATTGGAGTAGGATCTTATTAGAGGCTTTACAAGGAACCCCGGATTATCCCTAGGGAGAGCCAGTCTGAGGCTTTAACTATCTTCACAGAATAATAATACAAAGACCTGCCCTGCCTCCCCTCTCCCACCCCTCACCCCATTCTGACTTGAGCAAAAGAATTAAGTGTAAAATGTCCGATAGAATCCTTTCTCTTTCCAGCCCCCCTGCCACCTGATCAAAGGCTGATGTGTGAAAAACCATTTGTCATCTTAGATTAGTAGAGCCCTGGAGCCAGCTGGTGTGGCTCAACCTTGGTTAACACAGAAGTAGTTTAGAGAGAGACAAATCCACGTGTCACAAGCATCCATCCCAATGGGAATTATCTGGGCCTCGTGTGCCAGGGAATTGTGTGCCCTTGTGTTTATAAATCTAGCACAAACATCCTGGGCATTCATTCTCCTCCGAGATTTACACCGGAAATTTGAAATAGAAACATTTGGCTTCATAGTCACCACTCGTCCATAACCAATGAATGAAAATATCTGGGGCACCTGCTTTCATGCCATGTTGAGGAGTAAGAAGGGTCACCTTCCTTTCATTGGCTCCTGGAAGCAAGCAGGACTCCTGACGTCACTGGCTGCTTCCTCTCTCATTTCATTCCTTTGCAAAGAGTGGGAGAATTTTCTGGCAAGATCTGGCTGGGTTGCTCTCCAGTGTTTGCATGGCACTCTGGGGAGAGCCAGGACAACAAAGAGGGAACAGAAAGAAATAACCAAAGTCAAGTAAATAGATGCCTTGGAGATCTTCGAAAATTCCAGCATCTTTTGGTTACACAATCACAACATCATTAGAATTCAGATTCAGCAGGGAAACACAGGCTGAAGTAGAATCTGTTTTCCAAATCAGATCCTGGTCTCTCTGTTGTTTTTAGGCAACGATTTGCTGGAAGATTCCCCATATGAGCCCGTTAACAGCAGATTGTCCGATATCTTCCGGGTGGTCCCGTTTATGCCAGGTAAGCAGATTTGTCCTTTCTCTCTGATGCCGTTGCCTGCTTGAAATTCTTTGGCTTGCATTCTCTTTGGCTCGCAAAGAGTGTATAAGCAGATAGTTGAATGGCGCAGTGTTTCTGGGAAATTAGAAATAGGATGATAATGAAGAGGCAGAATGCCTGGAGATGATTGTACGACTTGAAAGTAATTCTGAAGGAAGTAGTGCTGAGCGTGGTATGGAGGAGGTTGGAGGGAGGTGACTTGGTTGGATTCCCCCCCCCCTTCATACTAAAATATGATTGGCCAGTTCTTGAAAAGGGAGTGCCACTTCTGTCTGTAGGGGGCAATCGTAGTCTCTTTATGTTCTGGTGCCTTCCACTGTGCCTCCCTGGGAATGGGCTCTGACCAAGTGATGCCTCTTACTGAGATGTCTGACGATGATCGTGGAAGCATTTCAGATGGACTGACTTGTCTGTCTTTGATGGAAAAGATTAAGCCCAACTATTTGTTAGAGCACTTCTGTTTCTCATTTTTCTTGAGCATGTGTTTGTGTGTGTTTATATGAGAATGCACTACTCCGAAATATGCCCTCTAAAATAGTCTTGCTTCCCAGGGCTTGCTTTGTTTTTCTTTATGGTGCTGTATTTGGTTTGGAAAGATACTTAATTTTAGAATTATATGCTCGTAACATCTAATGACAGCCAGATTCTAGACCGATGTTGTCTGTATTGTTTAGAGTTGAGACATTTTCACAAGTAGCTGCGTTATTTCCATATCGTACGAATAGCTCCATGATGAAACAGCGTGGTTGATGTTGAATCTGATGCTATGAGGTGATCTGTTACTGGTGAAAGTCTTTGAAATGGTTTAAGCATTACTGCAGAAAAGCCACAGAAGCACGGGAGGAGTATATAAATGCTGTCATTGTATGTGGGTGTATTATACATTCATGTACTCACTCACAAAACATCCATTGAGCAACTACTATGCTCGAGGCAATGGGGGTTTTGGCGGAAAGCCAGAGAGAAATGGGCCTTGCCCTCACGATCTCAGAAGCAGCCACTGCTGACATGTTTTAAACCCTTCTATGCCTCCGTGTTAAGAGTTTTATATCATTGGCTTATGTAGCCATCAAGTGCCTGTTAAGCGTCATTTTCCTTTCCATTCTATAGATGAGAAGATTGAGTCATAGTGGAGTTAGGAACCAGTCTGTGATCTCAGAGCTTCTAAATGGTGGAGTCAGGACTTACACGCTGATGTGTCTAATTCTCAGCCTGTGTTCTGACCCCTGGCTTCTTGCTCTTCAGTGTGGCCCTCACTCATGCCTCATCAGTCTCATCTGGGAACTGGCTAGGTGGTCAGCATCTCAGCCTGTACCCCAGATCTACTGAATCTGCATCTGCATTTTACAGTAAGATCTGTGGGGGCTTCCTGTACACCGGAAGCTGGCTCTACGAAGTGGTTCCTGCTCTCTCTCTCTTTCTGGTTCAGGATGGAATTTAAGGGTACAGATATGATATCAGAAGCATCCCTGTGTCAATTCTGAAGGCTAATAATGGTTTTCACTTCAAATCCCTGTTGATGCTCTCCATCCTCTTAGCCCTGAAGGAGTCCTGGTTGCATGAGGTCGTTACTTATTGCACTGTTAACCCAAAGATGAGTGGTATGAGAGCAGATAGTAAGATGAGTGGTCTCACTTGGAAAGATTTATAGCCTTGAAGACCCAGTGAGTCACTTAGCAATAGGTCTGCTGGGCCTAAGCCAAGATAGTGGCCCAGGCAGTGGACAGGGACTCAGACACATGTATGTATTCTGGGTGACCATTGGGGCTCTTGTAGAAGTATGTCTTTAGCATGGGGTGTGGCGGATGGGGTAGCCTTGATGAAGGTGGCGGCAGTGCACTCTGGAAGCGTGACTCCTCAGTCTTTGTGGTATTTGTTTAGGGTGAGTTTTGGGGAGGAAATGGACATTAAAAGCAAAGAGGCAGGACCTCCGGTGTGTCAGTGTCAGAAGTGATGAGAGCTTTGGAGCTTTAACAGACTGTTTCGCCTTCCTAACTTACTCTATTCTCATTGTTTAAGGATATAATCTCTCCAGTAATAGAAGTTTTAATAGCCCAGGATTCTGAGAGTAAGAACAAGGTCACCTCCAGACTCCCTCCACTGTGCTCTTTAATTATCTCTTCAATCTTTGCTCTCATTTCTGCACCTGAAGTGGCTCGGGCGTTCTCAGATACCATTGGGTCATCTGACTCTCTTTTATGAGTAGCTAAAATTCTTCTGCGTGGCCCGAGTTTCGGTCATTTGCTCTTTGGCTCCATCGCCTCAGCCAGGGATTTTCTCATAACACGTATGATCTTGAGTTTGTGACTCTCTCTCCTGTAGAGACTCCAGAAGCCATAATGAAATTAACAGAGGCAGGAAGGCCTTGTCTGGGGCTACATTTCAGATCTCAAGGGCATCGGATGTAGGTTCCAGCACTAATGAGCTTTGACCTCTGACAGTGACTCTGCTTCTTAAGTGGGAGTAGCAAAGACAAATGGAGCCCTGAGCAGCTTGAAGTCATTGAAGAATGCATATTATCTGGTTTGGCGTTTGTAGGATGAGGAAGGACAGAGGAGCAGCATGATGAATGTTGCTTTCCATGATCTGAATGGGAGTTTCTAGAACATCTTTTTCTGTCTCCCCAAAGAAACCAGGACAACAGGGCCTCTGCCTTTCCCAGATATGGTAGTAATCAGAGTTTCCATATTTGGCTTCCTCAGCCCCAATGTGAACAGAATGTTTATCCACAGCCAGTAAGCGTGGGCGGACTCCCCCTGCTGAGCGAGACATGTTTTATGTTCTTGTGTTTCCACTTTTTTTGAACCTAGAACCTACCGCCCTCTTTGAAATTGTTTATTTGCTTGGCAGCTAAATGGTCATGATGAGACATTGGTAGCCTTGTGGTTTGGAGGGAAAAGGATATAAAATAAAGTAAGGAAGCTCTGATGTATTAGGGATAAGGAGTTGTGCTGCCAACCCAAAGGTACACAGGTTGAATCCACCAGCTGCTCCATAGGAAAAAGATGGGCATCCTCCTCCAGTGTAATTTATTGCCTTGAAAAAGACTCTGGAGGGTCCACTGTGAGTCCATTTCGACTCGACGGTGCATAACAACAGTCAGCAAACTGAGGGAGAATCTAAAAACTATCATCTCCAATGCTGAAGCCAGGACTGGGGAAGGGAAATCAAGCGTCTCTTCCCTGACGAGGATTGTTGTGGGGTGACTCTTGTGCAAACTTGGCCTCAGAGGCACCGTGAAGGGTTCTATGTTCCCTGTAGGTGATAGAAGTGCAGTGTGGTCTGTAGAGGTCTTGGTCATGAAGACACGAAGAAAGGAGCTTTGATGACTGATCTGTGGTTAAGTCCTCAGCTGCTGAAAGGTTGGCCTTTTAAAATCCCCAGCTGCTCCATGGGAGAGAGATGTAGCAATCTGCTTCTCTAATCTCGAAATTCTACGGGCAGGTGTACTTGCTCTTAAAAGGCCTTTCTGATTTAGAATGGACTCCATGGCAATGGCTTTGGCTTTGTTTTGTTTGAACATGAAGACTCAGTGTGTGTGGGAGTATGCAAAGTAAAAAGCACATCATTGCGAGAGATGCTGGAGTAGAAGAGAGGACGCAGCAGAGTGGTGTGGGAACCAGGAGGGCAGAGCAGTGTGGGAGCATGGAAGCCCAGGAGGCAGGAAGCATGATGTAGTCTTTTAACATCTGTGTCCCTCCCAGTGGCTCTTTTTAACCTTCCTCCCGCCTTCCCTTTTGTTCTCCACGAAAAGTTCAAGAGGCAGCAAAGAAGTAAACATTGGTTTAAAAGAAAGATGAACCTGCTGGCCATTCCTTTGACCTCTCTGGGAGAACAAAGCAGCGGGAAGTTTTCAAAGTACGGTGGGTGGTGGGTGGCAAGAGAAGGCCAAGGAAGCAGGGTCAGCCGAAGGATGGAAGCATCTCTGTGGTGAGAAAAGGGCTCCGAGGTTTCAAAATATTGATTGGGAGATGGAATTCTGTAGCAAAGAATCAACAGATGCCAAACTTTCCTTGAATATAATCAGAGGTGGAAGTATTGAAGACAAGAGTCAAGTGAATTGACTACAGGGAAAGTGTAATGTTAGGGGTTGAACATCCGAAATCTGTTTGGTGAAAGTCAGCAAGCCCTGCCCTCTGGTTCTGACATAATTCCCCACCAGGTTGTATTGATGTGATTGGGCGCTACCCAGCCAATTTCGATGCATAGTAACCCCGTGTAACATAATAGGACTGCCCCATCAACTTGCCTTGGCTGTGATGTTCCTGGAAGCTGATAGCTATTTTCCCTGTAGTCTCCTGGGTGGGTTTGAGCCACCAACAGCCTTTTAGTCTAACAGTGCCTTACACCTTCCTCCTAGGAACTGTGAGGACCTGAGAGTATGAAATATTTATTCCCCAATGAGAGAACCTTGCATGCTTTTTGAATACAGACTTTTTTTTTTTTTTCTGATCCATGCTGTACTATTTAACCATGCTTAGCCTTTCTGGTTCAATGTACCATCATAGATAGATATATGATCATCATATATACACATATGTAGATTATATATGTATATGTTTTTGCTGTTGTGTGCCGTCAAGTCAGAACTGACACATAGCTGACCCTCCAGCAGGTTTCCTGAGGCAGTTAATCACATAGGAAGAGATTGCCCATCCTTCCCCCATGGAGTAGATAGTGGATTCAAACCACTTGCCTTTGGGATTGCAGCATAGTTTCTTACCACCATATATATACTTTTTTCTTCTTTTTTTCCCTTAAGACTTTCCATAATGTCACCTGCAAGCTTCTCAAACTGGGATGAGAGAATAGGGTTTCTAAGCATCAACTCTTGAAAGTATGCAATTTGTCTCTTCCTTTCCACTCAGTTCTCTAAGAAGAAACTGAATGAGTTTTTCCTAGTAGCATCTCACTTGGTTTCTGCTACTTTTCTGTCTTCTGGTAAACCAGAAGGCCCATGG